GGCGGGAGGGGGAGGGTCTCCTTTGTCTGAGCGGAGGCTGCCTGAGCCAGGAAGGGAGGGAGGAGGGGGAGCCCTGCCAGGCAAAGCCCCTAAAGGCTAAGCTCTGTGGCCCCACAAAGAGGAGCCCAGGGCCGGAGTTCTTGAATTACAGGCAGGGCTGGCCCTGCTGGGAGGGTTCACAGGGCACAGTGGGGCCCGGGTAATGAAAAAGTGTCTTGCCAAGGTGTAAAGGGGGTGTCCCAATCCAGAGTTGGGGTTCCTTGAGAGAAGGGGTCTAAACCGCTAGCATGGGGTCCCAAGGCCCAGAGGGTGAACCTTGCCCCCACTTTCAGCGCCCTGGGTCTAGCGGCCAGTTAGAGATGGGGGTGGAAGGACAGAGCACAGAGCACAGCACTCTCCGTCAGCCTCTGCTTCCGTGTTTTGCCTGGTCTCTGTAGCCTCACCCTCTTCCTTCCTCCCTCCCCCCCCACCAGCCGGCTCAGTTCGGGGAAGCTGCAGGAGTTCGGCGTGGGGGATGGCAGCAAGCTGACTCTCGTGCCCACCGTGGAGGCGGGCCTCATGGTAAATGGCTTAGGAGGCCCCAACATGGGAGGGCAGCGCCCTTTCATGCCAGCATGGTCCCTATCACACCTGTCTGGGCTCCCCCCCACCATGCAGGACCCTCCCAGCTCAGGTGTCCAGCCCAAAATGCATACTTAGGGTCTCTTCCCCTCCCTCTCTTTGTAGTCTCAGGCCTCAAGGCCAGAACAGTCTGTGATGCAGGCCCTGGAGAGCTTAACAGAGACCCAGGTGAGACTCGATCGCCGCCCCTCCTAGCCCAGGGGCTACCAGCCCCACAGGAGAGCCTGGGGTTGTTTCTGCTCCCTGGAAGCTTGTGGGGAGGGGACTCGTGCTGCCCCGCCTTCTTGCCAGCTTGGCCTGGTCACCCAGCTTCCTCTTCCCCCTCCCCCCCAGCACTCACCACCTGACCTTGAGGGCCTTCTCTCCCACGGTGGCTCCCATGGGGGATGGGGACCCAGCTTTCACAAGCCTGCCTTCGGGTGACCTTGGCCCCAGCTCCCACCCACTGGGCCTGTGTCCCTGAGTGCCCCCCTCCAGAGCCACCGAAGTTTCCCCAGAGCGACCTTTATAAAATTTCTGCTGGTGGGGAGAGGGAGGGGCTAGCCTGGGTGACACTCCTTCCGCCTTTCGCCTTTCCTGACCCCATTGTCAGGGGTGGGTAGTCACCCCTCCCCCTCCTTTTTCTGGCCTTTGTTCTCTGCCCCAAAAGGGGAGGGGTGGGGTGGGGGCAACCGGGCACCCAGCAAGACCAACACAGGATGTTAGGAAAATATTTAGTAAGCAGCCTGGAGGGAGATGAGGAGGGAGGCCTGGGCTGGCCCACACCCAGGTTCCCGGTTTTGTTGCAGCCTTCCCCTCCCCTCCTTTTCTCATTTTTCTGGCGGCAGGGCCTCCTCCCAGGAGGGTGACACAGGCCTCAGCTATCCGCCTGCTGCCAGGGTGGGGGAAGCAGGCTGCTGCCCTCCCCTAGAGGGGGTGGGCAGGTTTTAGGCCTCCCTGTCTGGGCTGGCCAGCCGCAGGAAACCTGCTCAGCCGCTTCCCTTCCTCCTGCCTGAGGCCCTCGCCCCCTCCCCGACATGTAGCATCCTGCCCTCACCAGCCAGCTAGTGTGGAGGAGGGGGGAGAGCAGGATCTGGGTGGTCTGCCATCAGAAGGGGTGGCGGGGTGAGGGAAGAACAGGAGTCCTGGGAGCCCCAAGGGGGCTCCTGATTTCCTGGGGCAGATGTGAACTGAGCTCCCTGCTGTTGGGGGGGGATGTGGTTGCCAGTGGGGGGCCCTGTGTTTGGTTCACATCCGCCCTGGTGCCTTCATCAGGAGGGAGATGGAGCGGGGGTGGGGAGGCTGGGTGGATCAACTGGGCTCCCAAGGGCTGCTCCCTGCCTGGCACCACATTATGCTTGCCCAGTTGCCCTCCCCAGGGAGGAAGTTGCTGGAGGGAATGGGGGGGTGCTTCAGCTACTCTTGGGAGATACCCCAGACCCTTCTTGCAAGGGGCATTTCTGGGGGTGGGGGTGGG